ACTATTAAACAATCTTAAATGCTAGTAGACTTAAAAGTTAAAAGTGCTGATTTTGTACGGGAAGACTATTAAACAATGGACGCTAGTTGACGTTGACTTAAAGGTGCCGGTTTTGCAAGGGGAGACTATTAAACAATCTTAAATGCCAGTAGATTTAAAAGTTAAAAGTGCCGGTCTTGTAAGGGAAAAGACTATTAAACAATATTATTATTTATATATTATAAGCATTATTTAAAATTACATAAAAAATATTTTAAAACTTCATATTTTAAAACAAAAGGAGTATGTTATATATTGGTCTTCGAAAAACCATTTTTCACAAACCAAAAAAATTACTTCAGACATATTGTGTAACTCACCCCTTTGAGTTTTATTTTAATGAATAGATTTTTCGATGGCCAATAAAATTAAGTTTGCTCCAAGATTTGACAGTTATTTCCCAAGATCCCCATCTCCACGTTGCATGATAGCAGCACAAGACTTTTGAAACTTGTATTTTGGGGCAAAGGTGTGATTCTCTAGTCTTCACGTTGCACAACAGTAGCACAAGAGCCGTAAAAGCTATAACATTATGGTGGGGCAAAAGATTTGTGAAAGGGGGAATTAAAATTAACCAACCCTCCTGCGTGCACGCAAAAGACCTCCAAGTCTTGGAAAAATAAACTCAAGTCATCAAGATTTCATAAAGCTAGAAGAGGATAATCGTTTACTCCGAATCTTTTCGTTAGAGTAACATAGGGGATAATGTTTTACCTATCTAATACTCATCCATGGTTCTATATCTAAATTTTTTTTTAATTAAGTAATAAATATAAATTATATTTGATTTCCACACTCAACTTAGTGGCCAGAGCTCTTAATTAAGTAAGAATTACCTTTTGTGGGTTAAGCCTTCTAACTTCACTGATCTTATTCTCCCTTCTCTCAATTTACCCTGACCACAAATATAGATTATATGTTATCTATATCTAAAAATACTCACTGTAAATAATAGAAATAGACAATATTAATTTACCACTACTTATAATTTCTTTTCATTTGAACTGCAAATTTTATAATTTAACTAACATAAATGCCCAGAAAAAAAAAAGAAAAAAAAAACAATAGTTATTCTTAAGTTCTAAGGATGTGTTTAGTATATAGAAGTTTGTGGTTAGTAGTTTATAGTTTGAAATTTAAACTAATCAAAAGAATAAATATATTTACATTATTCAAAAAAAAAAAAGAAATTATAGAAAATTAAGATATTTTAATAATTTAA